GTTGTGCTGATATCTTGAGGACTACCGTGGACAGCTGAATCCTAAAGTTTTTGATATTATTCATATTCTGTGTGGTGGTCAGTTCACAGCAGTGATAGAAATTAATATTTTCCAATAAGTTTAAATTGATTTGTACCTTTCATGGGCATTTTTACCTTTATAAAGCCATTTTTTTTCTAAAAGTGTACAAATTCTTACATTTAATCAGTCAATTATAATAATAATACATTTAGGCCCGGTTTCACAGACAGGGCTTAGACAAAGCCAGGATTAGGCCATAGTTCAACTAGGATATTTAAGTATTTTTTATTAACATGCCTTAGAAAAAACATTACTGGTGTGCATCTTGAACAAATCAAAAGCACTGATATATTTTAAGATCTGTCAGTGCAAGTTTCTTTCAGTTGAAACGGCTCTGATTTACACTTTAGTCTGGGACTAGGCTTAAGCCTTGTCTGTGAAACCCAGGGTTAGGCTGTTACTAAACAAATGAAATCAGTATCAATAAAATTCATCTTTGCAGAAGTTGCATATGAAGTGGCATTTAGATGTATTTACACGTTAATGCATCTCAGAGGGACATGAAATGCTTTAACCTGCAGTTACAAATGCATAAATAATGTTTTGATATTTAAACATGAAATGTTGAATGCTGATATTTGAAATTATTTAAAAAATGAAAAGATACTTTAAATGTGAAATTAAAACTGCCAGTAGGTGGCAGCAAGTCACTGTTAAGTGAGTCATTGCGATTGAACCGAATCATTTAAGCAGCTGATTCATGCAGGAACGAAACAACATCATGTTGCTCAGAGACGCAAAACAGTGCAAAAACAGCCAATATGGTGTCTAAAACGCAAGTATCTTGATATTAACTTATTGTTTATTGAACAATATTTATTTGATAAAATGTATTGTATAAAATCAATATCACATTTGTAACCATGTTACATGTTTGCTGATTTTTAAGAAAAAAAACGGCACTTTTCGTGTGATATTGATTAACTATATGAATTTATATAATCTGTCTATGGAGAAAATAATCACCTGTAAAAGTAATAATTAAAAATAAATTACAATACATATTGTAATTAAAATTAAATGATAATAAACATATAAACATTATAATAAATTATATTAAAAATATAATTACAATAAGTTTTTTCACTCAAAATCTGAAGTGCATAAACTCAAATCAATGAGGCCAACAACCAATCACTTCCAAAAAGAAATACAATTCAAATAAAAAAAGTTGATGAAAAGACTTAATCCAAGATTTTGTGATAATATAGCATAACAAGAGATTTACAAGCAATTTTTTTAAAGGTTATTTTTGACAGGGAACACCAAATAAGGTAAATTATTTTCAGCACGGTAAAGGGGTTAATAGATCGAGTGCACTCATAAAATGCACTGCAAAAAAAGTGCCAAAGCCAATATGGTGTCTAAAACGCAAGTATCTTGATATTAACTTATTGTTTATTGAACAATATTTATTTGATAAAATGTATTGTATAAAATCAATATCACATTTGTAACCATGTTACATGTTTGCTGATTTTTAAGAAAAAAAACGGCACTTTTCGTGTGATATTGATTAACTATATGAATTTATATAAATATATACATTTTCTGCCCCCTTATCTTGAATTATGTGATCATTCTTAATGCATTTTAATAGGCTGAATCATGCAGTGAAAGAATGCACTCTAAATGCGCATGCGCACTAAAACCTGTATTGGTCTACTCTAACCAGACTTCATTACATCGCGTATGCGTGCCTCTTTAGGTGTGTTTTGTTTAGTTTTTGCAATATACTCGATGATGTAATGTCTCACGAGTTCAGTATTTGCCCTAAACCTGCGAAGATTTAGCTTGAATGAACTTCCACAAGAATTTAATGAGTGAATAGAACTTACGAAAAGTAACTCGCCAAATTGGCTAGTAATTTGACAGCATTACCCACCACAGCTGATTTTTACCTGCATTTGGCGGGTGTTAATTTCAAACCCTGTATATATACTAAAATTTCTAGACCCCTTACTGATAAAAAAAAAAGGAAGCAACAAAAAGCATTAGCATAAAAGCAACACTTTTTGGTCAGCACTACTGGATTGTCAAATGCAATCACCCAAATATGAACCAACAGGGTATTTTGCAACAATAGCACCACAGCGGAATGAAAATCCAGGTGTGCATTTGAAATCTACTTTACATCTAAAAGAAATAATGTCCCTCAATGACTGTGATTAACTGTGCCATGCTGTCACAACTTCGAATCATTGCATAAAGTCACTTCCCTAGGTACAATATTACCATGGTAACATGTTCTAGCACAATTATCCTCAGTCTCAGGCACCAGATTTACAGCGCGGCTGAAATTCCTGCACACAGAACTTGGTTGTCACGTATTTCACTTTTGGAAGATGAGAAATTTATGCCTCACTCCGCTGAGTAGTCTCATTAAAAGAGAAGATTGTGTTTTTCATCAAACATATTGCATTATTGATTTTAAAAGGAATAGTTCATCCGAAAATTCTGTCATTATTTACTAGGGGTGGGAATCACCAGAGGCCTCACGATACGATATTATCACGATACTTGTGTCACGATACAATGTTATTTTGATTTGAAATATATTGCGATAATCTGCGATATATTGCAATTTATTACCTTTTTCCAACTTCAAATTATCTCCCCAAAGGAAAACTTTGACAACATCTGTTCTAACTAAAAATAAACATTTCTCAGTTTGTTTATCTCACTTCAGTTTTATTGTTGCAATGCAAAATGGGATTGTCAAGCAGACAAACTGACAAACATTTTCATGAAAACCTGTCATAAATGTTGTATGCACCTGGCAAACTCAACTATTTATATTACAGTCTAATCTAGTCCACCTTAATTAAATGTAAACAGGTATGCACTGCTGTTCTACTACAGGTATTTTGAACAGTGCAACTTGAAATTGTACTAAAACGTTGTGCAGACCCTTCAGCAATTGGGGCATTTGAAAGTAAATTACTGTTAAATTTAAATTAAATTAAATTAAACATGTAGTCTTACATTTAGGGATGCACCGAAATGAAAATTCTGGGCCGAAACGGAAACCGAAAATTCTGGATGCACTTGGCCGAAAACCGAAACCGAAACCGAAAATGCTTTGTAATGATTATTTATTATTTTATTAAATACTATAAAGTAATTTTGTAAGACTTTTCACATTTAACTCAATTTTAATGATACTGAATAAAAAAAAAAAACACAAGCCAATAAAATAACCACACTTTTACTGAAAGTAACACAATAAAACTGGACAGAATTTATATTAATATAGGTAACACTTTACAATAAGGTTCATTAGTTAACTACTTTAGTTAATGAACTAAGAACGAACAATAGTTCTTCAGCATTTACTAATCTTAGTTCATGTTAATTTCAACATTTACTAATGCATTATTAAAATCAACAGTTGTGCTTGTTAACAGTTAATGCACTCTGAATTAACATGAACTAACAGTGAATAACTGTATTCTCATTAACTAACATTAAGAAAGATTAATAAATACTGTAATAAATGTATTGTTCATTGTAATTGTGGATGATTCTAATTGATTTCCAGATGACCACTGATTTCCATTGACAAAGCTGGATACAAACTGTAGTTATTCAGTGATTTTATTGTTTCTGAAATCAACACGTTTAACATTTTCAGTGTGGACAGACTCAAGCTGTTGCAGTGCGACACGTAATGGGTTGTGTCTGTTGTAGTTGGTGTTTGTGAATGAGGCGTTAAAACAATTCTTGGTGAAGAATGACTTCCAGTCTCAGCCAGATTTCCTCTGAATTACAAAGGCTTTATTGGCTGTTCATGTAGCTGTACATAATCTATGATTCAGCGCTTCCAGAATTTGCTCCAAATTGAGCGAGTGATTCCCATCACTGCATTTCCTATCTGGACCGCTAGTCATTAGACTCTGCCAGCAGCTCTCGATATGCCCTGACATAATGTACATGATTTCATGAACCCTCATCATTAGCCCCTGACGAACTCCCCAAGACCCCAACCAATCACATGCCCGGTCAAGCATCCCGATCAGTCCGGGTCAAGATGAGCAGCCAGAACAGTTCTCTCAGCACACATCGAGGAGAGGAAATGGCAGCCTCTTCTTACAAAGCTTCATTTCTCAAGCACCGGTCGAGAGGGCTAATGCTAAGTGGTAGCTCGGTCAACTGGTGTATTCATATAGGCAAACAGTACTTGGGGAAAATCACTTACCCCTTAGTCCCTTTCACCACCAGAGCTGTATTGTTGCAGTGGATTGAGTTTGTCAATCAACAAGACTTTGAATGTTTGACGTGAATACATGCAACCAATGTGCAAGCAACCTGTGGATTAGCAACTAATGCTAATAAGCTACTACAGAGACTAATAAAATTCTGTTTTAATAATATTTAAAAGTGACCCACTTTAGCATGGGTTACTGATTCCATGAGGTCTTAATTTCAGCCGCTAGCGTCAAGGTCTTAATGGTTACAACTACTGACAAGTGGCTATTTAAACCAGTCTAGTTTAAATAATGCAGACAAGACCTGTACAAATGAGTCAGTAAACCTTACAATATATTTGAACTCAGCATGAAATAAAAAATAATACCAATTTCTTCTTTTAAACGTATTCCAGTACTCATTATAACATATACATTACACCACCTCTGAAACAACTTTAGTTTTTTAGCTAAAGTCACCCAGAAGGTCTACAATGCCTGGGTGTTAAATGTTAGCATCTCAGTAAACAGTTAAAAACTGATTAAAATATTAAATAATAATAATAATAATAATAATAATTAATGATGAAACATCTACTAAAATATTGAAAATATTGAACAAAAAAAACTAAGTTTTGAATGGTGGAGAGACATTATAGCGTATAGCATCAACCAGTAACTACCATAAATATCATAAAATAGTTTTTTATCATTAAATGTTTTGATACTTACATCTTACCTCGCTTTCTTTCAATGTTGAAACTGAAATTTCACACTGGAATCCGCACTCTGCTTCTGTGAACTGTAAACGCTGCCCACTTTGATTTGATTGGCAATCTCAATCTTTTTTACTCTAATGAGCATTGTTAGACAGCTGAGGCAGAGCAGCCTAAACATTTTCTTCCATTTACATTTTTAGGTTCATTCATTGCCTACAAATTCTCTCCATAGGTGGAGTGTGTGTAAGGCTGGGGAAGGCCACAGTGTCTTGGGGCAAAAATGCCACTAAATTGGACAAAAATGCCCTTGCACAAACAAATTAAATCTATTACGTCTGTTGCTAACAAAGTGTAAATGAATAGAAAGTGTCAACTTCGCATTAAATTAAGATTTGCTCATGTTGCATCCTTATTTCATTTTAGGCATTTTTACAGTGTTGTGCATTATAACCAATCAAACACGGTTCTGTTGAGCTTAGGAATGCAATGGCCAATCAGAGGCGTTCAGATGAGTCATCGCTGAAACTCACCAGCTTTGTTGAATGTGCGCACATTCGATGACTGAATTTCGCGAATTCTCTCATCATAAACAACAAAGTGCAGATGTACGTACATTTCGCAGTGTAGACAGCTTCAGTGATTATAAAGATAGTTTTATTTTTTTGAGAGTGCGATAGATCAAAGTTAGTGATAATGTCATTTCTGTACATAATTTATTTGCCGTTTGAATAACAGTGGGAAGGAAACGTTATAGAATTATCAATTTCTGATGTTTTAATTAAAATGAAATCACACTAAATACAAATTCAGTCACATTAAAACATATTTTATTAGCCTACATGACACCCATGTCTGGTTATTGCCTAAAAAGACAGGTTTATGATGTTTGTAGTTAATAGATTTGACTGCTTTTAGCCTTAACCTGGAGTTGGTTCACCCTCCGCCTATGATTCTCTCCTAGGTTAGCGGGAGTGAGCGTCACAATATGCTGTAAAAAATTACAAGTGAAACGCAAGAGACATGCTATGTTGACCCTCGAGGGTCTGTTTGGACAGACCACAATGTTCTCCAGAACTCTGCTGGACTGCCAGCGCAAGGTGCCCATTCAGATTACACATCTCTTCTGGACAACCCAAATCTAAGAACACCTAGAGCGCTCTTGCCTGCTGGTACCAGCCTCGGCCTCTCACATCCCAACTTTCCACTTGGCTTCTTCGCCTTTGGACATATATGTCAGACAAGAGCACCGTTCACTCTCCGCCAGCAAAACTGCTACCTTGGGCTACGCTAGAGACTGTATAACACCAACCTACCGAGCCAATGGTGAGGAACAAACGATAATGTCGATTGTTTCAGACAAGGTGCTTCTGCAGATTAGGCTGTGGACTAAGTAATAGTTTGTGGATATGGATGGAAGATGGGTGGGATGGATAGACGCAGCAGTGGTGGAGGGAAAAGCGGGAGACTGTTATTTAGCAAGTGACCTGAAACTGCCATACCTATTATTCCAATTCACTGGAATCCTAACAGTAGGCTTCTTAGACTGTGACTCCTAGAAGAAAACTTAAGTTTTAAGTATAGTTCTTCCACAGGTCACGCAAAACACAGCGGCCTAGCGTGAGCGAAAGCCCCGGCTTAGCGTGAGCTGAAGCCGGGCAAGAGTGAGCTGAGGCGGCGGGGTCGAGAACGGCGGTCCCGGCAAAGGAGTGGTGAAAACGGTGAAAGCCGATCCGGCGATCCACAGCACTAAGTTTATGTATTTCCTCAGTGACCAGCACGGATCAGCTCTAGGCATGACGAAGCGGATATCGTCCTCTTTTGGAAGACTAAACAAAGTAGTTTCGCTTTCACAACGAAGCACACAGCGTCTTCAGGACATGGCGGCGGCAACAACAATACTACAGCAAGAATAAAAGTTACGCCTTCTTTCTTTGCGTGAACATTTGGGTGGCGTTATGAAAATCTTCCCACATAGTGAGGTAGATATGTGGGGGCGTGTTCGAACGAGCCGTTTTAGGTAGGCGTGGCTGACTCTTAACTTTTATAAAGAATATCTCTTTGCATTTGAGACTTTAGTCTTTGCAAATTTACAGATCTTCTTTATGCACCAAGAGCTTGTAACACTCCAAAGAGAAAGGAAAAAATGAAATCGCATCATATGACCCCTTTAAGAAAAAAATATCTAGCATTATAAACAGTATAGCATTAAGCGTGACAAACAAATGAAGAGTTATTCGATCCCAGTCATATTTTCCTTCACTGTCTTTTTAGCTCTAAAATCTTTTTTTTTCTAGCTGTCATTCAGGTATATAAGACAAGACAGATTTCACAAATATTGCCACAGCCTCATGTCTGCAGTTGGTAGCTCTGAAAAAAAGGTTTAAAAGTTCTGCTAAATTCTATATTTTCATTATCGAGGGGTCAGTTTCATTCAGGTCATATAAATTAGTATGGTGACACTTTATTTTGGTAGTTCACTTTAGCCATTCTGCTGACTATAAGTAACGTTGCAACTACATGTCAACTATAAGTCATTAGAGTATTAGTAGTCTATCTGCTTAATATCTACTATCACTTTGTTTTAACAGTCCCCAACATTCTACTGACTATAACTAACTTTGCAAGTACATGTCAACTTATTCCACTAACTCTAACCATCTACTAATACTCTAATGCGAGTTAGTTGACATGTAGTTGCAAAGTTGCTTGAAGTTGGTAGAACGTCTAAATTGGACTATCAAAATAAAGTGTACCCATCACTACCAAATATATGTCAAAACATCTACCAAACTTTTCCATATTATAGATTAGTTTTCAGTTAAGTGGGTTTAAAATGTACAGTATGAAATACTGAGCCTATATCATTATCTTGAAGACTTATTATGACCTATGAGAAGAGTTAAAAATAAATCTCAGTACTTCCGGAACAGCAGACCCAAGAGCACTCTAAAAAATCCAATAATACAAAAGGAAATATGTTATACTCTGTTAGAATTAAAGAATGGCAATCAAATTATCCCCTTTAAGCCCAGTTAAACATCCTGCTTTAAATGGTGCCAGCTGAAAACTTTTCACCATATTTCCTGTGGGCTGTAAAGCTGAATTAGTCCTTAGCTCAAGTCTGTTGTTAACCTTAAAGATTTGACTGGGGTTGAATATAAATTGCTTCAAAGAGCTTCTCAAACCATAAGCTGATTATTCAGTAATGTAAAATGCTCACTTCATTCCATTTTCCTTCAAAGAAAATGACATATTTGGTACTTTATTGACGGTAGATGCAAAAATGAATGCATAATCACAACCCCCTTCCGGTTCTAGACATGGTATAAGATGGCGAGCTGTCCTATTTACAATGTTTCAAAGATAAAGGAGGACATTGGGTAATTCTTTAAGATAATGTTAGGAGAAGCAAGGTGCCATCAAGTCATATAACATCAGTCTCACCGTGCAAATTCAGTCCAACTGAAGTCTCAATGATGACGACTGATGAATATGTCAGATGCTACCAATGACCAAGATACCATTTTAGTCTAATTTATACTAGCAACACTGAGACATTTAACGGTCATTGAAGACCTATAGCATGTGATATGAGAGAGGTCCAGCGTTCAAATCCCGGACGAGCCCCCAAACAATCTGCATTGTATGCTACTTTGGATTGAGACTAATAGTTATTCAGTGATTTTATTGTTTCTGAAATCAACACGTTTAACATTTTCAGTGAGGACATAACGTAAAGGTATAACGGTACCTTTTGTGGTTTGATTTAAAAAATATATAAACGGGAACGGTTTGCATGCATATTAAATGAATTAATTTAAATATTTATTGTGTAAATAAAGACGTTATTTATGAGAGTACGCCCTCAATATGATTTCAATGGTGAAGGTAAACAAATAATTAAATCTTCATGAGGTGAGAGATGCTGTCTGTGAACTGTCTTTGAATGAAATATCTCATTCTCAAAACCTTGACTCGATGCTTCTTCTCCTGTGAGAAAGTTGAGATGTTTTAGCTATTCTGCGCATAGCTGTCTTTGTGACGGGTAATCCATTTGTTTATAATTGTCTTTTTGGTTTTGACAGGGCTAAATTAATTACCGTTTGATCTGAATGTGGGACATAATTAGAACCCTCTTAAAGCTGCAGCCAACCCTCACATCCCTTCTGCCAAAACGGATCATCCCGCACCGTAATTAAACTTCAGCTCATCTGTCAGAGAGTCGAGGTTTCCTTTACTAGCAGAAAAGAAGCAGCAGGTCCACTGTTATGTTTTCAGGAAAGTGGTTTAACTCACCACAAAGATTTAGAAATGCTTCATTGGTCAACATTAAATGCATATTTCTGAGTGAAAAATTATTGTGAATTAACGTAAATCAAATTATACAATTGCATTACCTTGTAAAGCCAACTAAGCGGTTGCATATAAACAAAAAGGGAATGTTAGAGATGTTTTCTTATCGTTTCTGGTCAGTAGACATTGGCAGCAAACAGCTTATGGAAAACCATGCAAGACGTTTCCCCCAAGCGTGCCTTGAAGTGAATCTTTGTCGCCGCACACACGGACAACTTTCAAAGCCTACTTTCACTAACTGACAATGCTGTGAGCAAATCAAATTAAACTTGCTGATCCAATAAAGTCCCTCAAGTGACCGGCTAAATGATCGGCTCGGTTTCACTCGAGTTCCTCACGTTTTTCTTCTGTAATTAGTAGCATCATCTAAATAACAATTTAGAATGTGGGTAAATTAATCTCATACATTCTTAAAAATGTCATAGAATAACCATTTTTGGTACCCCAAAGAACTCTTTAGTGAACTGCTTTTAAAAGAACCATTTTTCTTAGCTTGAAGAACATTTTAAAAATCTAAAGAACCTTTTCCACTGTAAAGAACCTTTTGTGCAATGGAGTGGTTCCGTGGATGTTAAAAGTTCTTCATGGAACCATACGTGCCAATAAGGAACCTTTATTTTTTAAAAGTGTAGAAATCATAGAAATCTACAGCACAGTAACAGCCAAACTTTGTCTCTATCTGCTTTGCTCCTATGCCTGTCTTAAAACCTTCATCCTGAAGATGTTTTTGCTACGTGTTTTGATCCAGACTGAACTTACATGAGAAAATACATGGTTAGTTGATGTTTTGGAGGTCTCTAATACAGCAAATCCCCTATGTGCTCTATGAAATAAGGCTGCAAGACCTGCCATTCGTGTTTGCTAGAACATGAAGTGCCTGTTGGGGCTGCACACATCCACTAATAAAAAGACTGACTGAACCTGTTGCTCATCCACTTCTGTGCGCCTTCATGATGTTTCAAACCTGTATGACTTCAGCAGACTACAACATAAGATGCTTTGTTCCATAAAATGCTAGCATATTGTGACCTGAACACAAATAGCACTAAAAAGTGACTTGTGTGCATTCAATAAGAAATGGAATAAAACACACAATATCTATATGTGCTATACAACAGACTGAAATTTAAGTTATTGACAGTATTGCCCTTTGGCTGTATCTTTTTGTGCAACACATATGCATCATGTGAAGTATAAATATGTGCATGTCTGAATGGTCACAATAAGCTTTTGTTTGTATGGAAAAGAGCAGCATGCAGATTATTCCAAGGATTTTGTATTCCACAGAAGGAAGTCACACAGGTTTGGAGCAACATGAGGGTGAGAAAATGATACAAACTCAGTATTGCAACAGACCGGTATTTCCACACGTAACAACCATCATCTGGACAAAACTAATTTTGACCAAAAAAAAAAAAAAAACAGACACA